ATAACACCTCGGACCCACATAAAATTTCAGGAAAACTGTAGAAAAGAGTTCGAGGAAAGTGTATTAAAATATTTCATTTTGAGTTTCCAAAGTATATAGAAATTATTAATTTATACAGAAAAAATTACAAATCCTGTCGTGTTTAAAATTAAAGTGCAGATGACCAAAGTTGGCATATAAGCCTTTTATAGCCTATTTATTCAGATGTCGTTAATAGCATTCGATTCTACTGATTTGAAATAATATTTTAATACCAAGCATCCTTTGTTTAATTTACCTTTGAAATTTATTTGAATTTTTTTTAGAATTACGCAATCCCCAGAAATAGCGATTTTAGGTATATTAAAAAATCAATATACATGTACGCTCCTTCGTAAAATAATCAGATATTTGCATTCATGAAAAAAATATTAATAAGAAGGTGTTAAACAATATAGGTCACATTAGCTGACACGAATGTCTTTTTAAACATCTCTTGTAAAACCCAGAGAGTAGCCCCCTATGCATTGGAAAAAATGAATAGTTCCGGTCAAAAAACCTTTATATATTTATTTACAAAGTATATAAAATTTACCAGGCACAGGTATCAGAGTTGTCAAAATGGCCTGAGAGGAAATATTAAAAAAATTCTGAACAGAAAAGAAAATCCCTTTTCCATGTATGGAACTACTATTGAATAAGTTCATTTTGATTGGTTAGGTATTGGTGTGATACCCTTAGTCGACTTTAACCCTGCCTTGTCGTCGGAATAAAACCAACTTTGAGCCCGAGGTTTAAATAAGTAGAGAAATAAAATGTGAATCGATATATTAAAAATATGACATATGCTTGAGAAATGGTAAATTTATGTATGTATTTTTTTCTTTGATTTGCGGGATAGAAAGATATGTTAATCACTTAATCAACATGCCATCTTGCATATGCATGTACATGTACGTGTGCGCGCATGCAAAACGTTAAACAATATATCGTTGATAGTTGATATCATTGTAACTTTTATATTCTTAAATGAAATCTTGGGATACTTAGCATATTTATAAAAGGTCTTAGAGGAATAAGGCACGATAAGGGACATGGGGAGCGTTTGGGGAACATCTGTAACGGTCCCCGTTACAATTAGCACTAGTTTTATATGATATTTGTAACATCAAGACTTTAAATAATTGTGCATACATGCAGGTCAGACGCGTAAACATATTTCTAACGTTATCAGACGATAAACAAGGAAAAATAGAATATTGCGTGAAAAAAAGATACATTTCAATATCCTGCTTATTATTAATTTATTTGCTTTTTGTCTACGCGAACATCGTAGCTTACCAAAAATCTTTCTCCGGTAACTCCGATTCATTTGAGAAAATCATATTAATAGTATTTAATTTTGACAAAATTAATCATACAATTCGATAAATTATTTTTTAAAGAAATAGACCAGTTGATCGATCTACTTATAATTTCATTTCCGAAAAATAGAGTTACTGTTTAAATTTTACAATTACTCTCTGCTTTACCATGATATAATTATTTTATTTATTTAATTATTTATTTATTAATAAATCAATTTATTTATTCATGAAATACGCGATTAATTATTTTTTCCTTCTACGCTTTAATATTTCTTATATTGATGAAAAAGAAAGGGATAAATCTTGATTTTCTCTTTTTCGGTTGAATTAATCTTATTTTTATTAACAAAACGAAAAAGAAATTCGGAATAGCTCAGAAGTTTCTTTACATAGTAAAGATAAAAAGCGAGGGTTTCCGAATATACACGATAAACGCAAAACACGATACACGATAGAACCTGATAAACGATCTACACGATAAACGCAAAACACGATCAACGGAAAACACGATAGAAAACGCAAAACCTGATAAACGGAAAGCACGATACGATAGGATACGATAGGATACACGCACGATACGATAGGATACACGCACGATACGATAGGATACACGCACGATAGAACACGATAGAATTGTAAAGAATAACGATGCGGGTACTGTAACAGGTACCAAAAATTTTAAGATTAATGTCATTAAAAAACACGAACTGTCGGACGTGCATACTAGAAGCCTTGCAAGGGAACATGCCTCGAAGGAACCCTTAGCAGAATCAACGGCTTCCAAAGCCCTTGTGATGATAAACTAGGCTGCTGTGGAGAAGTTAACATTTTTATTCAGAAATGCACACTGTATTGCGAAATCAGGAAGACCATTCACTGACTATGTAACACTCTGCATGTTAGATAAAGCAAAAGGTTTGCAGATTGGCAATACTTATCTAACCGATAAGTATTGCCAGCAGTTTGTGTCATATATAGCTGATGTACATAGAGATCTACAGAAAGAGAAAGTTGAACATGCTTCATTCCTTTCAATTATATCGGATGGATCTACTGATACCTCTTCTAAGGAAACCGAAATCGTATATATTAAAGCATCTGTGAACTGTGAGGTATGTCATAATGATATATTATATATATATTAAGAATATATGAAAAAATATCTTTATATATAATAAATAAAAGTATACTATCTTCAGGTGTTCACATACTTTGCTGGACTAAAACATGTTAGCAAAGCTGACGCCGAGGGGATTTCAAGAGCCATTTCAGGCTTATTGGATACAAGATTTGGACCCCTTTGGCGTTCCAAGGTGGTCGCCATGAGCACTGACGGAGCTTCGGTTATGGTGGGTAAAAAAGGGGGCGTTGTCAAGATGATCAGCTACATGACAAACAGGCCTTTTCTTAAGGGGATACACTGCTCAGCACACAGGTGATTTCTACAAATCTTATGTTTTTACCCATTAACATTGACATAATGATATGAATGTAAATTCTTTAGTTATAAGATCCAAATTAAAATGCTATGCTGCCTAATTTTTTCAGGTTTGAATTGGCGTACAAAGATGGCATCAAAGATATTCCAATACATAAGAAGTGTGAACTCCTTCTTCTAAATTTGTATCTGTTCTACAAGTAAGTACAAGGTTTTTTTTTAAAATTAGTTTTAGAAAGTAGTCCACATTAAACAATTATTATATGAGGGAGATGAAATTAAATAAACTAATGGATTTATTTTTTGCATTTAGATACAGTTCACTGAGCAGAGCAAATCTTAAGATAGCATTTGATTCCATTGGGAAAAATGTTGGTCCCAACCCGTGTAGGTGGAACAAGGTGGTTACCCCATACTGAGAGGGCTTTGAAGCATGTGATCACTGGCTATGATGGCATTGTTCTTCATCTGGAACAGGTACACAGCGTTTTTGAATATTCAAGTTTGTTATGTTGATATTACATATATACATGCAGTGTGTAGTCAATGAACATGTGTAATTTTTATTTTAATTTCATTTGAATGTTACTTAGGAGATTTTTTTTTAATGTGATGTTCACAATCATTATATACCCTATCTAAATTAGATGTAGCAGAATCCATCCAAAGAATCCAGTGCCAAAGCAAGAAACTTTTTGAAACTTCTGAAGAATAAGAGTGTGATTTTGTGGTTACACTTTATGATGGATGAGGTCAAAAGCCTCAGCACTGTCTCTCTGAAGATTCAGGATCAACAGAGTACTATTGCTGATATCTACTGTGAATTAGGCAGCGCAAAAGCAATTTTGGACAAGTTTAAGAGAAGGTATAAATCATCATGGGTTTAAGGATTTCCATCCCTAATGGGACCTAATTCTCTATCCTTAAATGTACGTCAAGTACATAATATACTGATACTATATTAAAGCATTTCATAGTTGAAAAGGATTCCCCGCGAGAAAGTTTTAAAAATGTCATTAATTAAGCAGTAGTTAATTAACAAAGATTGCATTGACGTCTATGGGGAAAAGCGTTTTTTCAAAATAAAAATTTTAATAATTTGAATATCAATAAATCCTGCGGTGGAAAGATGCATTGAAACATTAAAAATAATATGACAATTGAAAACAATTTTTTTACCGGCTAATTTTTTTAAATCAATTTTTTTTAATAATTAAAAAAAGGGGAGATAACTCTTACCAAAACTCAAGGTCATAAATTAGGACAGATCAGCCTATACATACTAATAGTAATAAATGGGAAGCATGTCTAGATAAACTGAGTATTCAATGCCTACATATCAGTTATGTATTCAATTTCACTGAATTTGTTCACATTAGAGATTGAATACCTTAATGTGTATTGCACTTACATGTACATGTAGGTGAAAACCTGTCATTTAATCACTCAGCCTGTTACCAACCTAACTTACCTCTGGTTTTGGTTTACTTTTTGTAATGCTTGCAACAGTAATTAATTTAATATTGCATGTACCTTTGCTACTATTCTCTGCTTTTGTAGTATAGTTAGCACTTGCTATACTATGCACCACTCTTTGCTAACCTGCTTTCTTCCTCAAATTAAAAACACAAACAGTAATGGTCCATTCTTGAGATTGGTGGCTGGAGACAGCATGCATATCATTGAAGGGAGAAAAAACAAATTGCTTGACTCATTGATTAGTTAGTATCAGTAGAAGATTTGCTGGTGATCTCTGCATGTTTAGTGCCTCATCTATCCTACTTATTCAGAAATGGCCATCAGATTTTACTAATGATCCAGGTAAAACATTATCATGTCATGATTTTTAAGGTTACCTAGCAATAAACAAAATTATGTACATTTATTTATCATTCTGACTTGTTAATTTTAAATAAATAAAGACATTTTTTTTAAAATATTTCTTGAAATAAAGACTTTGGGGATGAAAATTTACAACAACTGATCACATCTACAAGACCAGCACTGGAGGGATGTTGTCCATCAATTGACATTGAGGGAATTGAGCTGGAATGGACACGACTGAAGACATCTCTTATTAAATACAGGTTTGTTTTATTTTCAATAGTAAATACATTTTTCTTTGGCAGAAAGATAAACAATTCAAATTATACTTATTTATTTTCAGGTGTATCTCCAGTTTAACCTGGAAACAACTTTATGCAGATTTTGGGTGTGACTTTCCAAACTTTTTTCACCTAATAGACTACTTGTCGACTCTGCCAGGGTCTTCAGTTGATGCAGAGAGGCTTCTCCTGGTAAATTCCAATTTGAATTTGTATAAGATTTAAAGGTTTCTTATTGAAGTTTGTTTTTATATAAAAATAAATATAATTGATCATCTTACAGTATGAAACTTGTGAAAAATAATTGGAGATCCAGATTGGGGGAAGCCAATTTGAGTGATCTGATGCTTCTTTCCTTGGAAGTAGAGGAAATTGATCAGTTTGATCCCCTGCCTGCAATTCATTTGTGGTATGCAGGGGAGAGTGGGCCAGGAGACCTTTCTACAAAGATGAACTTAAGGTTATTTTATAAGTTGCTAATTTGGTTAATATTTGGAATTGTATAACAGCTTATAAGTTAAGCCTTTTGCATGTAAATATTGGCTATATGCATTTATGTTAATCATTCTTAGAACAGCTGTATTCCAAGAGAAAAGGTGACAGTTAGTAGAGATGGGGAGATTGAGGAAGTGCAGGAAGCTGTGGAGGAGGAAATGCAGGAGGAAGAGGAGGCAGATGAGATTCATATTTCACCTTCAGAGTGTGATGATGATGATAATGATTATGATGAAGTTGAAGCTACTCTAAGCAGAAAAGACTTAATAGAGCTACAAAAAAAGTCTTATGCTATGCTATGGAAATGATGATGTGAAATTAATGAAATAAATTCAGTAAAGTAGAAGAAAGTGCGTGTTCAAAGTAATTACATTTAATAAGCCTGAATAGCATGGAATAAATTTATTCAACAAAACATTGAAACATTAATGAAGGTCCACCAAAAATTCTTGACCAGTGGACCTGCGGTCCACCAAGGTATAAAAGTTAGTGTCAAACCCTGATGTTATGAATAGTCAAAAATATAATGATATCAATTAGGTATCTGTCATAGAGAAAGAAAACGTTAATAAAGAAAAAATAGTTGATGAGGTTTTAGATGTATTTTCTTCGTTGAGGCAATATTTTTAACGAGTTTGCAAAATTCCACACTTGTATATATGTGTCAGGTCCTTCAGACCAGTCCCATCCGGAATCAGTAATTTCTCTCTCCAAGCCGGACCGGAATACCCCGTAGCACCTGTCCTCCGTTTTAACTCGGAACGCCTCGTCTTCCTGTGTCTGATATAAAACATATTTTGAATTTGATGATAGATTTTAAATTCAAGAGAATTTTTTTTCTACGTTCTTATACCTACGATCTCATACTTTAATAGTTCCTATCTTTGGACTCTATATGAATGGATCGAGCTGGTACTTTATCTGCTTTCTTCGAGTTCAAAGGCTAGAAAAACAAAAAAATCAAATAAATGTTAAATAACAAAATTTCCAGATGAAAGTATCTGGAACCATTTTTTGTCCCCCGCTTGAAAAGTGGGGGATATTAATTTGGGTCTGTGCGTCCGTCCGTCTTTCTGTCTGTCTGTAACCCTTTCGTTTCCACACGATATCTCGAGAACCCTTTGAGCTTTCGCAATGAAATTTTGCATAGCAACACCCTATGGACTAAAGAAAAACCCCATTGATTTTGAGGTCAAAAGGTCAAAGGCCAGGGTCATAAATTAGCAAAATCTGTCTTTTACAACACTTTCGTTTCCGCGCGATATCTCGAGAACTCTTTGAGCTTTTGCACTGAAATTTTACATAACAACTCCCTGTGGCCGAAGGAAGACCCCTATTGATTTTGAGGTCAAAGGTCAAAGTTCAAGGTCGTTAAATTTATACATTCTGCCTGTATGAAACACTATCATTTCCGGGCGATATTTCAAGAAGATTTTGAGCTTTTGCAATGTAATTTTATACCAAAACTCCCTAGGACCTCTCTCCCCCTCTCAAAGTGTCCCGCCCCGTTTGTTTTATTAGTATTTATTGTATTACATGTCGCTATTTTTAGCGCAGGGGCATGAGGAGAGTTATTACGTATAAAACAGGTTCTCAGTGGACTTTATATTCTTATTACTTCTATTAGAACTGTTTAATAAAGGTTAAATTAGATATCATGCATTGTGTAAAATTTTGACAATATCGAACGTGAATAAATAAATACATGTATGTGACGTCATCTTTGCGTATAATTTTTGTCTGTGTAAAGTAGTTCCGTGGTCTAGTGGTATGTCTCTCGCTTCACATGTGAGAGGCCTGGGTTGCAT